GGAGGCTGAGGCAGGAGAATAGCGTAAACCTGGGAGGCGGAGCTTGCAGTGAGCTGAGATCCGGCCACTGCACTCCAGCCTGGGCAACAGAGCGAGACTCCGTCTCAAAAAAAAAAAAAAAAAAAAAAAATCCCTGGGGGAAGCAGCACCCGCCATCAGAGAGGGCCTCTCATGGCCTTGTAATCAGTAGTTTGGAGGGGAAAAGCTGGAGCATTTATTTATTTATTTATTTATTGAGAAGGAGTTTCACTCTTGTTGTCCAGGCTGGAGTGTAGTGGTGCGATCTTGGCTCACTGCAATCTCCTGGGTTCAAGTGATTCTCCCGCTTCAGCCTCCTGAGTAGCTGGGATTACAGGCACATGCCACCACACCTGGTTAAGTTTTTTGTATTTTTAGTTGAGTCGGGGTTTTAGCATGTTGGCCAGACTGGTCTTGAACTCCTGACCTCAGGTGAATCGTCTGCCTAGGCATCCCAAAGTACTGGGATTACAGGTGTGAGCCACCACATCCGGCCAAGATGGAGCTTTTAAATGGTCAAAGGCACCTGGTTATCATCATCTGCTTTTGTCAACACCTTAATGGCAAAACCTTTGCCCTCCTTCAGTATTAACCCTGCATTTGCACCAGTGGCCTGGGCTGCCACTGTTGCTACAGTAAAGAGGCAGGTGACTGCCCCAAGGCTCGGCTGAGGAAAGGCTGGGCAGAGCTGGGGAAGATTTCACACAGTTCTCTTCCACTGCACCCATCTCCTGTCCTCCTCAGGCTGCAGCCACCCACATTTCCCCCTGCAACCAAACCAGTTTTAGACACGTTTAGCTTTCCAGGTTTTTCTTAAAGGGTTTAGTTCCTGGTGTCCACACTTGCTTCACAGTTTCTCCGGGGCAGGGAAGGAGCCAGTAGTTCAGGTCGGCTTGCCAGGTGGGTGAAAACCAGGCTGCCCTCAGTGGGTGTTTATATCTTGCAGAACAGATGTCCTGCTGGTTCTAGCTCTGGCCCTATTGATCTGTGGACACAACGGTTCTTGGGGAAATTTCTTACTATGGTTTTTGGGGTTCAGCCTAAAAATCCGATCTTATTTCAATAGAAGATTGCTGAAAACTGCCTATGATTTCACTTTCCCAGTCTCAGGCCCTGGGACAGACATGCAGAGGTGAGGAACAGTGACTGAGCCTCTCTCAGGCTTTGGGTGCAGGCTGAGCCAGCCCAGGCCCTCCAGCCACTCCTCACAGAATGGGTCTGCCACCTGCTCCTTACCCTGGGCCTTCCCCCTGCTCTTATAAGATGCGTGACTAATAAGAAACCATCAAATGCTCTTCCAAAGTACTTTTAACATTTTACATTCCCACCAGCAATGTATGGGAGTTCTCGCTGCTGCACATACTTTCCATTACTTGGCATTTTCAGTTCAAAAAATATTTTTTTAGCCATTCTAATAGGTTTCTAGTAGTATCTCATTTGTGGTTTTAATTTGCATTTCCCTAAAGACTGATGACATTGAACATCTTGTTTTAGATAGATGGTTTTTTAAAAAAACCATCTATATATCTACTTTTGCAAAATGTATGTTCAAATATTTACTCCTTTAAAAAAAAAAAACAGGGCTTTCTTCTTGAGTTGTAAGAGGTCTTTATTCCAGAAATTTATATTTTTCTCCCAGTTTGTGGTGCACCTTTATATTTTCTTAAAAGTGTTTTTAGAGGAGCAGAAGTTTTTAAGGTGAAGTCCAATCCATTTTACTTTTCACTATTTTTTTTTCTTACTGTCCTAGGAAATCTTTGTTTTAAAATCACAAATATTTCCTTATGTTTTCCTCTAGAAGTGTAATTTTAGCTCTTAAGTACAGGTCTATGATCCATTTTGAATTAATTATTGTGAGTGGTATGAAGTAAAGATTGATGGCTGGGCGTGGTGCCTCAGGCCTATAATCCCAGCACTTTGGGAGGCCGAGACGGACGGATCACGAGGTCAGGAGATCGAGACCATCCTGGTTAACACGGTGAAACCCCATCTCTACTAAAAAAATACAAAAAAACTAGCCGGGCGAGGTGGCGGGCGCCTGTAGTCCCAGCTACTAGGGAGGCTGAGGCAGGAGAATGGCGTCAACCCGGGAGGCGGAGCTTGCAGTGAGCTGAGATCCGGCCACTGCGCTCCAGCCTGGGCGACAGAGCAAGACTCCGTCTCAAAAAAAAAAAGATTGATTTAATTTTTCCCATACAACCGTCTGGTTGTTCCAGCACCATTCCTTGAAAAGACCACCTTGTCACTTACGTTGATGAGACAAATGCTTACCACCTGGTTTCCCCTCCTTCCTCTTGTTTTTTAGTCCCCGAAGATTTTCCCTATGACCTTGTGAGTTCCCATATGCAATTAAAGGGGTATTTAATTTATGTTATCCAGTATTTCTATGTGTTTTGTAACAAGATGGTGTTTTCAGGCCATTTAGTGCACAGTGTTGCTGGAGACAGAAGCCTTGCCCTTCTTTCCCTCCTCTAGGCCCTGGGTACACCTCCACAGGGAGGGGTGGGAGGAGACCTTGCCCGCTGCTGCCGTGTGCTGACTACCGCCGTCCTTCCTCTGGGCCTCAGTCTCCTTTTTTATAAAGTGAGGGTGAGGTGGGAGATCAGCAGGACTTGTTTTCCAAGCCTTGGTGACTGCTCTGCTGATGGAAGCAGATTGTAACAAGAACAACAAAAAAGCCGGCCCAAACCAGCTAGGACCATGATGGCGATGAAAGCAACCTCTAGTTGCTGTCGTTGCTCATTATATCCTAATTATAATACATTTGCATAGGACACTCACAAGTGCCAGGATAGTTTATGAATGATGCCATAGCAACACCCTGAACGTTACCTTATATGATTCCTGGAACTCCCTGCCCCTTTTCCAGAAAGTTCACAAATAACCCACCACTTATTTAGCATATAATTAAGAGTGGGTATAAACTAGCCCTGCTCTGTCTATGGAGCAGCCATTTTGCTGTAGCTGTTGCTGTAATAAACTTGCTTTCTTTCACTGTGGGCTGCTTCCTAAGCAAAGCCAAAAACTATCCTGAGTTGAGCCCCAATTTTGGGGTTCACCTGCAGATCAAGGGATCAGACACCATGATCCCTGGGTTTCCTCCTTGTGCTAGTTTTTCTTGGATGCCTGAGCAAGAAGGGATTCTCAGTAATCAGGGGAGACCCTGCTCCCATTTCCCAGAGGCCATGTGCTGCTGACCATTCCATGTCTCCCTGACAGGCTGATAACCTGGGAGGTGAGTAATGGGATGCCAGCTACTCAGACACAGGTCACACACAGCAACGCCTCCTCACAAAACCTGCCCTGTAGGTTTTAGCTCTAGCTGCACCCTCACTTCCTCCAAGGAGTCTTCCTAAAAACTGAGTCTTGGCTAGAGGAAAGAGCTACGCCGTGGATGGAAGAGACGGGAAGGTAGTTGGTAGAGGCTGCCTGCAAAGACTGGGGGTGAGGCAGCAGCAGATGTGCCAGTGTTTGCCCTAGAGTATCCATGTGCATTGGGCCACAGCTTTTTCCTTAGAAAGCCTTGGATCTCCCTATAGCCAAAACACCAACAGAAGGAAGCCTGAAGAGTCCAAAAACAGTTTATGGCTCAGTTCTCAGTTAATTGAGCACCTTTCCATCGTGCCTGGTTTGTTGGGGGCATCTTTGAGGGGTGAAGCCTTATCCTACTCTCCTGGGGTTTCCATGGAGAGAGGTTTCCCCTTTTCTCCCTCTTCCCTAAGGTGCATTTGATTCTGCAGCCCTGGACATTCGCTGGGCCTGTTCCACCAATGGGAGGCGTCCTGCCCATGAGCAGCTCAGTTTTGCCCCTTTCAGTGTGGTGAGCACCGTGGGCAGGGCCAGGGCCTGCCCTTCAGAGGCAGGTCTGTGTGCACAGTGCACGTGGCTGTTGATGGGCACATGCAGACTGCTTGGCATATCCACACAAGCACACCTGAGCACACTGCCCACACGGCAGGTCTAGGGTGGCAGGGGAGAGGCTTTGCTTCAGGCCCTTCATGCGCCAAGGTCTCCATTCCAGCCTTTACCAAGGTCTTGCGTTAGGGGCTGGAAGGTGCCAGCCTGCAAGGACAGAGGTGGAACTTCTTTCCCTTGCCCTCCAATCCTTATCTGTCCTTGTGCTCAGAAGGGGAGGAGGGGAGAGTTGTTAGAGTCCCTGGAACCTGTGATAAACATCAAGGTCCTTCAATATCAAAGATACAAGCTTACGAATATTGCAAGTCATTTCAAATTCATTTCTAGAAGAACAAGTGTATAATTCAAAAACCATTTTTGAATGATACAAAGGATAAACATTAAAGCTTGAAAAATTCAGATTAAAAAAGCTTATATTACAGAGGAAACATAAGCATTTCTAAGTGCAACATCTCACTAAATGCTGCCTGCAGCTCAAGGCCTGAACTCTGCTCTGGGCTAGGAGAACAAGGCTGACCTTCTGGAGTCCTCAGCTGCTCCCGGAAAGGGCTCCGGTGAACCCAGACAAGATAGCCCAGAGCTGTGGGCCTAGAGCAGGGGTTCTCTCTGTCCCTCACAGGCACCCTCAGGGGCATGGGGAAACTTAGCACCCCAGAGGGGGTACTGTCTTGGGCCCTTTGCTGCTGGTAGGGATTTCTAAGGCCTGTGGCTCAGGGAAGAAGCCCAAAATGCACCAAATGGCACTGTGGCTGGGCTCAGTGGGGATGTTGGCCCCCAGGAGGCCACAGGGCTCTGGCTTTCAGGGCGTCACTGAAGGGTCCCTAGGGGTGAGCACTCTGTCATTCAGTCTCCCAGCCTGCACCATTCCCATCTTCCTCAGATCCCCCCTCAGTGATTTCTTCCCCGTCACCCTCTTCACTCCCTCCTCACTCCACACTTGCTTCTTCCTGCCCCCTCCCTTCTTACTTGTTCCCCTCTCCCTCCCCTCCGCTCCTTACTTGTTCCCCTCCCCACTCCCCTTTCCTTGTTCCCCTCCCCTTCCTCCTCCCTCCTTGTTTATTCGTCCTACTCTTCCTCTCTCCTTCTCCCTCCTCCATCTTCTTTCTTACCCTCTCCCTTGCCCGCTCACTTGTGTCTTCCTCTGTCTCCTTGCTCCTCCTCTCATTTCTCCCTTTGTCTCTTCTTCCCTGTCTCTGGCCTTTCTCTCTGCCTCTTCACTGTTCTCTTCTTGCTGTGTTTTCCACCTAGGCTATAGACTGAGCCTCCCCCACCCAGGAAGGGTAGGAGACCCAGTTCAGTCCCATCTGAGCATCCCGGGCGTTACTGGGTCACCTACCCTGGAGCTACCCCTTGGAGGGAAACATTTCTTTCCTTGAGCGTGGGAGGGCCTCAGCTGACTTAACTGGCCGCAGAGGAAGCTCTATATTGGGGAAACCGAGTTTCCAAAGACTTGACCTGGAACAAGTCTGTTGGGGGCCTCACAGCAGACAGACTGAGCTAGGTCTGTCCTTCCCCAGAGCCTCACCCCGATGCTGGAGGTCTGCTGGTTTATTACAGAGGCTTGGAGGACAGGGTGGGAGACCGGGGAGGCAGGGCTGGGCTGGCAGGAAGCCCCAGCACCCCGGTCCGGGGCCTGGCTTACTTGGCTGCCGCCAGGATGGCACTACTTCTTGGAGGCCTGCTTCTTCCCGCTGGTTACCTTGCTGTTCCTCCTGAGAGGATGTAGCTCCACTTCAGGCTCTCTTGCCCTAAAGATCAAAATAGAGAAAGCGACTGCTGAGGGCTGGGCGGGGGAAGGGCTGTTCTTCACAGTGCCCAGAGCCCAGGCCTGATAGGGCCAGGAGGGACAAAGCCCTCTCCCTTGCACAGGTGAGGCTGTCTGGGTGCTGCTCCAACCAGAGGGTCCCGGTGGCACCTGTGACCTTTCTACATGCTCCTAATTTTGCTTTTCTATCTTCATGAGAAATATGTGATCTCCACGCCATGCTGAATGCGTGATTCATTTCATGGTTACCAGCACCAGTAGTCAGGGACTTTTAACAGGTGCAGCAAGTTTCTTGCAAAGAGACAGCAGGGCCGTCTCCACCCTTCTCAGACTAATAGGTCTGGGCTGTGGGGTTTTCCTGCAAAGTCCTCAAAAAGCCTCTATCTCTACCACCCAGACCACTGCGAGCAGCTCCAGGGCAGCCTGCATGCCCGCCCAGTATTGTGTTGATTACACAGGCTACATGTCAGGGATGGTTGGACATGACCCAGGCCTGGGGGGAAGTGACTTGCCCAAGGCCAAATAGCCCCAAGGTGGCCTGCTGTGAGCCATGCCCATTCTGGCAGCGGGTGTGGTCACCTACTTCTCAGCCTCCAGAGGTAACTCCTTCTCCACATAGTCTTCCAGGGCCAATGAGGAGCTGCTTCCTTGGATATCTTCTGGCTCGGCTTTCTTGGCTGATTCAGAATCCTCCAGGCTCAGGACAGAGCTGGGAACACTGCAGGGGAGGCAGGGTTGGGGGGCAGTGCTCAGGGCCCAGGGCGTGCTGCACGCTGTCTTGTCAGTGTTCTGGGAGCCTAGACAGACAAGGACACACGTGCTCCTCCTCCTGAGGGCGGTGAAGGGAGAATCTGACCTCTTCAGGGACCCAGTGACACGCTGGAGGTTGGCTTCCCTGGCTTCTGTTTTGGGCTGGATTGGCCCTAACCCACAGGCTGCTATACCCACACCCCAACACTGACCATGGCAAATGCCTGCGGTGGGGTGGGAGGGCTCCATAAGTGACCACAGGAGAGATGACAGGAAGCAAAGGAAATGTGTTATCATGTGTAACATTGTGGGCTGAACACATGCCCCCCAAATACATATGTAGAAATCCTAAACCCCAAGACCCCAGAATGTGGCCTTATTTGGAAATAGGGTTGTTGCAGACATCATTAGTTAAGATGAGGCCATACTGGAGGAGGGTGGGTCCAATCCAACATGACTGATGTTCCTTTACAAAGGGGAAATTTGGGAGAACGCCATGTGAGGATCACAGTTCTGTGGCCACAGGCCAAGGAGCTACCAGGAGCGGGGAGCAAGGCCTGGGACGGAGCCGCCTAGCGGCTTCTGGGAGAGCGTGGCCCTGCCCACACCTTGGTCCAAGCTTCTGGCATCCAGATTACAGGAACGACTGCTATGGCAATGCTTTCAGTTAAAGATTCCATTTCCTTTTTTCACCTAAGTGCTCTTAAACCATCAACCCACTTGGCTATTCTAGGATTAGGAGGAGTCCTACTGGTTAATAGTTTCACGAATCTGCCTCTTTCCATTTCCAAGAACCTAGACCATCTTGTGTGCATGTTTCTAGTTTGTACGTATGCGTGTATGTTTCTATCTAGTTTGTGTGTGTCTGGTTTGTGTATCTGTGTAGAGTGTATGCATGTGTATTTATGTCTAGTTTGTGTATACTTCTGTGTCTAGTTTGTGTGTGTTTGTGCATCTAGTATGTACTGGAATCTAATGTGTGTGTGTACATGTGTGTCTAGTTTACATGTGTGTTTATAGTTTGTATGTATGCATATAATTTGTATATGTGTGTATCTGGTTTGTGTGTATGTGTGTGTGTCTAGTTTTCTGATTCTTTCCTCACCATTCCTGAACAATTGTTGAAGACCGTTGTAAGCATACCATTAAGTTCTTTCAGAATCCTTAGATATAACAAATTAGGAGACCAGAGCTCATTTTAATGATAATATCACTAACAACGGTAGGTAGTAATCTCAGTAAATGTGAGCTGTGTGCCAGCACTTCCCACGTGCTGACTCCTCTAATCCCCATAACCCAATACAGTGAGTCTCACTCTACAGACAAAGAAGCTGGTGCACAGAGAGGGTGAGTGTTTTGCACAGGTCACACAGCTATAAAAAGTGGCCAGATTCCTTAAGCTATCATTTCCTACTAAAGAGCATCTTCCTTTTGAAGACATCTAGAGCCAAATAAGAGCTATGTCTCTTTGTAACTACTTTCTGGCATCCCCCACTGTGATCGTCTGAATGTCTATGTTCCCCCAAATTGATATGCTGAAATCCTCACCCCCAAGGTGATAGTGTTGGCAGGCAGGGCCTTTGGGAGGTAAGGCAGTTATGAGGGTGGGACCCTCATGAATGGGATTAGTGTCCTTATACAAGAGGCCCCAGAGAGACCCTCGTCCTTTCTGCCATGCAAGGACACAGCAAGAAGGCACCATCTATGAACCAGGAAGCAGCCCTTGCCAGACACCTAATCCATTGGTGCCTTGGTCTTAGACTTACCAGCCTCCAGACAGTGGGAAATAAATGTTCAACAGGCTAAGACATTCACTCCCCGTGCACCATAGCAGGCTAGCCTTCTTCTGAATGTTTCTGAAAATGCCCTTGCTGGTCCTCTTTGGCATCTTCCTGTAGCCTCAGCTCATCTTCAGCCTGGGCCCATCCCAACAGCATCCCCCTGTACTGTCCTGTCCTGTCCTGTCCTGACCTTGGTGCATCTGTCTTTCTCCCTGGGATTATTGGTGACTGGTCTTCAGGAACCACCAAGCCCTCTCCCTCTTGGAGTCTCAGGCAGTGGGGTCTCAGTGACTTTTCTGTCTGCACCTTTCAGCATCTGCCCCTCCTTACCCTCCACAGGCTCCTTCTGGGCCTGCCTTCCCTGCTGAGTGTTCTGAGTTGCGAGGGTCACTTGGCTTGACCTCCTCAGTTCCTCCAGAAGTGGGTTCCCCAACTTGGACAAGACCCAGACTCAGCTTACTGCAGTGAGATGGGCATTAAGGACTCCTAGAAAACTGAGGGTCCTGTGTGGGAGTGGGGGGATGCCCAGACTCAGCGCTGTGGGGGTGCAGTCATAGGACTTAGGGCTGCATACCCCAGGTCTGCGTATAAATAACTTTCCACATGCCTCATCATTTGCTTCACAGTTCACAAAGCTCTTTAACAAACACACTTTCATGAGATCCTCACAGCCTCTCAAGGTGGGCATTATTTCCTTATTTAGAAGATGAGGAAACAGAGGATTAGGGAGGTAAACTGATTCCCCACAGTCACCCAGCCAGTAGAGTGCAGCAGGGGCTCCAACCTCATCCTGCAAGTGTCTCACTACACCGTGCTGCCCAGGCGGTCTCAGATCTGCTCATGCTCCCCTAATGCAGTCTTCAGGCGCTTCATGCAGCGCAGGCTCCTTCCTGGACTAGGCTGTATTCTTCTTGAGCCACTCAAAGCTAGGTCTCTCGGCTCAAGAAGATCATCTCATGAGAGCTGGGCCCAGAAGGTGCTCAACAAGTTGGCATCACCTTGTTGAAAAGCCCAAGCTCAGAAGCCCAGAGGCAGATTTAAGCCAGTACTTCCTGCTATAGGGCCTGGGATCACTTCACGGATGGCCTTTGTCTGTGTGGGGAGGCTGAGGCAGGAGGATCACTTGAGCCCAGTCATTCAAGGATGCAGTGAGCTATGATCGTGTCACTGTACTCCGGCCTGGGCGACAGAGTTGAGACCCTCTCTCAAAACAAACGAAAAACCAAAGCAGAAGCGGGGCTCAGCTTGCACATGAGGTGGTTGTAGGGTGTGGTGGGACAGAGAGGGGGTGTAGCCAGAGCTCCTGCCCACCAAACCTGTCTAGATTATTCCAACAGAAACAGGCACTATGCAAGCATTCCCATGTCCCCAAGATCTCCAAGAGGGCCCTTTTCCCAAACTTGTGTCCCAAAGAAACCCACAACATGGCCTTGCTCACACACCCCCTTCCACTCTGCACCCACTCCCATCCCTCCCCTGCCCACCTGTGAAGTCCTCCTGCTGTAGTTTTTGCCATGTGTGCCACAGGTGGAGGCCTCCCACCTCCAGCCCCCCTCCCCACTCCATCCCTTCCGCCCCGCCTGCTCCCCTCAGTTCCCCTTTCACAGCCCAAGTCTCCTTTCTGCCCTCCATCCCTCCCCAGGCCCATCCCTCAACCTGCGTGTTTCCTGTTTTACTTGAATTTGTAGTCGTCCGGCAGGAAGTAGCCCATCTTGCAATCCTGTTGAGACCGGAAGATCTGTTTCAGCAGATTCTGCTTGCTGAGGCCATATCCATTCAAAACACGGCCCCCAAAAAGGAGCTTTCCCCCGGCAAACATCTGTTGACAGGAAGGAAACGAGGAGAGATCCTCAGCACATCAGCACAGCAGTGTCCACTGATAAGACAGGCGAGTTTGGAATTTCACTAGGACAGTGCCACAGACCTCTGAGAGCTTGCACCGTGAGGCAGGCCTTGGGTGGCTGGGGAAGGAGTGCTGCCCTCCATGAGTTGCCGAGGGAGGTAGGCTGAGTCCAGCCCCTGTCCAGCCTGGGATGGTGAGGTTGCCCTATGACTTGGGGGCCTGAGCAGGGTTTTGGCTCAGCCATACCTCCCTGGGCAACTTGGGGAGGGCAGCTCTCCTTCCCTTCTGCCTGCTTGGCCACCCAGCTCACATGCACTTCACATACAGCCCCACAGAGCCCTGCGGCCAGAAAGCTGTTCCCCTGCTGTGTATGTATCTTTCAGCTCATCCCATGGAATGGGAGCCCCTTGAGGGCAGGGCTCCCACCCCCACAGGTCAGTCCCCAACAGGTAGACACCTATCCAAATATTTCTGTGCAAAAATATTCATGACAGCATTATTTGTTATGGCAAAAAAAAAAACAAAAAAAAAAACCACACACACACAAATAACTTAAATGTCAATAAAAGCAGCACAAATAGATAAAATGACAGACTCTTCACTTTGGGAGGCCAAGGCGGGTGGATCACAAGGTCAGGGGTTCGAGACCAGCCTGGCCAATATGGTGAAACCCCATCTCTACTAAAAATACAAAAATTAGCTGGGCGTGATGGCGGGCACCTGTAGTCCCAGCTACTTGGGAAGCTGAGGCAGGAGAATCACTTGAGCCCAGGGGGCGGAGATTGCAGTGAATCGAGATTGTGCCACTGTACTCCAGCCTGGATGAGAGTGTGAGCCTTTGTCTAAAAAAAAAAAAAAAAAAAAAAAATGACAGACTCTTACACAGTGGTTAAAACTCAGGTGTTACAAACTATATAAGGACATGGGGAAATGCTCATGGTATTTTAATTTAAAAAGAAGAATTGCAAAGAATATATGCAGAAAAGGACTGCAAAGGTCAGACACCAAAATCTTAGCATGCGGTGGTCCTCGCAGGTGCTAGGTACATATCTGTGGGATGAGCAAATGAGACTCTCTGGGTGATCTGATGATATCATTATTTTCTAAATTGTATTTTCTAAGCTTTCCATAATGAGCATGTGTAAGTATTTACAGTGAACGTTTTTAGGATAAAGCCATTTAAAAACAAACAGATGAAGGAAATTTGATTTGTTAGGTTGAATGTCACCTGTCCCTTCAGTCTCCTGGGATGGGGGACACATGGGGTCCTGGGCTCCAGCCCCAGCTCTGTGTGCTGGGTGACTCTTGGTCAGTCTTCCTGCTCTCTGGGCCTCAGCCAGGGTGGGGAGATAATTCCACAGCCCCTCCCTTCTTCTCCTCTCTCCTCCTCCTCCCACATGTGTGATTCTACAGGAGCAGAGGTAGCTGCAGCTGGGTGGCAGGCAGTGGATGGCAAGTCCCTGCTGGCTCACCAGAATCATTCCCTGCACCACAGAGTTCTTCTTCACCATCAGGGGAGGGTCCTCCTGCAGGGGGCTGTTCAGGTCATACTGCAGCAGGCGGTAGGAGTCATACCGGCACTGCCAGGAGAGAAATATGAGAACTGGTCACCCCCATGCCAAGAAGATGTACCTGAATTGCCATATTCCTGGCTAGGCCAGGTTCCCCCTGAGTCCTGGAGCTCTGTACAACTCCCTCTCTCTAACTCCTCCTGCTCCAGGAGCCCTTGGGCCTGCATGCACACCTTCCATGACTGTCCCTTGAGGATGTCCCTGGATCTGATTAGAGCCCGCTAGGGGAGAAGGCCATTTCTGAGGTGGCTGCCCCACATGTGACGTCCACTAGCCTGGCCCTCTGGGGTCCACAGAATGTGACTGCTCCCTTGCCCTGGGAGTAGCACTGCAGAGGTTTGAAGATGGGAACTGTGTTCTTGGGTGGACCCATTTCCAGGCTTTTGAGTCTACTTTACACAGCATAAAGAATTCCTCCACTCCCTACCTACTGCTGGCAAGCCCCTCAGGACCCTCCCAGTCACTATATCCAGGGAGAGGACCTGAGCTGAACCCATACCTCAAGGTAGGGTCTGGGCAATTCAGAGGAAAGCTGGCCTCTTGCCTCTCCTTTCTGGATGCCTCAGATCTATTAATACAGCCAATGTGCTGTCTTCCCGTTTTATCTGCCTTTATTTCCAGGTGCCTCCAGCTATCCTTTCAGTCTCCAATATGAAACTCAGAACCACACCCAATGTTCTAGCTGTCAGGTAAAGAGAAAGCGGGGAACATTTCTGCATTCACCAAAGACACCCTAATCTGACATCTGCTTCCAAGTCTGTCCTCTAGGCCTGCTGCCCACTCCTTTATGAACTGCCTCAGGCCACGCCCTGTCCTCACTCACGTTGCCCATGGCTGGGGTCGGTCACCTGAGCACTCCAATTGCTTAGGGACAACTATTAGCAAACAACAACTAGCCCCATGATAAGCGAAAGTCAGTTCTAAGCTCCCCCGTGGGCAGGATTTTATCTGTCTCTACATGGACAGACACACAGAAGGAACTCAATACATGCTCACTGGATTCAACTAAATTGGAGGTTGGCTCTGGAAAACAAACATGGCTTTGCTGTATGGGACAAGTGAAAAGGCTTGTGGCTGAGTCTATACTCTTGGATGAGATGGTCAAAGGGCTACTGGTGTCTGCTCAGAAGGTCTGGAGCACAGACCCGAGGGTGGGCATGCCAGAGTCAGGGAGGGGCCGCTCCTGGGAGCAGGGTGTCCATGCAGAACTCCCACCCCTGGAGCACATGGACACCCAGAACTCTGCAGCAGCAAATGGGAAATGGGCAAACACAGCAGATTCTAGGAGACTGGAGGGCAAAGAGGGCTTGAAGGAAGTCACCACGTGGAAACCCAGCTCACGTGCTCATGTGCCATCCTTTGCTCCAGTTGGTCTGGGGTTGGGGCCAGCCTTCAAACTGTGCCAATGCTGCTGGGAATGACTGCACGCTTGGAGGGTTACATAGGCCTGATAGGTAGGAACGATTCTACTGCAGCAATGAGTAGGCTGGAGTGCATTCCATGGGCCCGAAGACTCCCTTTAGACCTCAACCACAATCAGCTGGGACCTTGAGCTATGCTTCTTTCCTGTCCCCCTTTGCATAGGCCACTGCCTCTTCCAGGAACATTAATCACCTGCCAAAACCCCACTCAACCTGGACAGCCCTCCGGACCCCCAGGAGGCAGCAGGCACATGTTCCCAGGCTCCTGCTTGCCCAGAGCTGTCCTCTCACGGCCTCACTGGCGGTGCTGGAGTTGCTGCCACACTGGGAGCTACTCTAGGGCCCAGTCTGCATCTGAGTCATGCTGGGTTCCCAGGGCCCGGCCCATGCCCAGCACACAGTGGGTACTTGCGATAGTCTACAAATATTTTCAGAGCCCTGAGGATTCAGTGGTGAGCATGGCCCATGCTCTAAATATTCACACCAACAGTCACAAACTGGAAGGAAAGGACAGTGCCCTGATTTTGTCTCAAGGGTCAGAAGAGGGCCTGGCCCTTACGTGGTGACATTCACCCTGGAGCTAGAGGATGAGTGGGAAGGAGAGAAGCAGGGGGAGGGAGGACACAGCAGACAGGAGAGTACACACAAAGGCCCCAAGGAGAAAGGAGCTGAAGGAGATGGCCCCTCAGGCAGGTGCTCAGCCAGTCCTAGCACTGTGGGGGTCTTCTCGGACTGCCCCACTACCCCTACCCCTGGCCTCCAGGACCTCCTCACTGGGCTGGGACCAACCTGGATGCAGGGGGAGCCGCGGCCCCGCTGCTGGTGGCTGTAGAGCGTGTTCAGCAGCCACTGGAGCTGCCCAGTGCTGGTGTAGTTCTGGCTTGAGATGATTCCAAATACCAGCACCTGGCTGGGGTCTCGGGGTGCCAGCAGGAAGCGCTCCAGCTCCACGTCAGAGACCAGGGGTGCCTTCACCAGGCACCTGCAGCCAGCACGGGCGTCTTCCTTAAGCATGAGCTTCCGCAGCACCAGTGGGCAGTCTGAGGGCGAGGCCGCCCACCTGGTGGGGCTGCGCCCCTCGCGGGCCTTCCCTCTGCAAGGAGGAGCACAGTGCACAGGGGCCCTCAGCAGGTGGTGGAGGTCTGTGGTTCCCAGAGCCCCCTGGCTCCTGACGGTCAAAGGGCCTGCTGCAGGCAGATTTTAGTCTGGGCCCTGCTGCCAATGTGCTGCACCACCTTGGACAGGTCCCCTAACCTCTCTGGGCCTCTTTCTACGGTGCAAAATGAGAATAACAAGTTACTCCTTCACCCATCCATTTGGTCAAAGAATGCTTTAGTGTCATCCTTAACTCCTTTCTCTCACACCCAACACATCCCATCTAATCTGTCAGCAAGCCTGTCCTCTCTACACTCAAGACAGACCCACAATCTGACCACTTTTCCTGCCCTCCAGCCCCATGGATGTGGTCCAAGCCTCCTTCATTCTTGCCTGGCTGCCTGCAAATGCCTCCTAATGGGTCCTGTGTTTTCTTCCCCGGCCTGTCTTCAGTCTATTCTCTGACTGAGGGATCCTGTTAAAACCTAGCTCACGTCATGTCACTACTCTCTTCAAAACCCTCCGGTGGCTTTCTACCTTTTACAGAACAAAAGCCGAAGTCCCTGCCATGTGCTTCAAGGCTGCAAGAATCTGTCCCCTGCATTTTGTCCTCCTTACATCTCTTACTCTCCAGGATTCCCGCCTTTGCTCACTGCACTTCGGCTACACTGGCCTCTACTTATCCTTTGGTCTTGGAGGACAGTGGCCTTTGCTGTTCCTCCATAGAGCCATCTATGTCACTCTCTCAAGGCTCTATCCAAATGTTACCTTCTTAATGAGATTTTCTGAGTGCCCTATTTCATTCCTTTTCTCCCAAGACTCTTTCCCTTCCCTGTTTTATTTTTCTTCTTAGCATTGCTTGCTATCTAATATATCTTTTACTTTTAAATTTTATTATTGCACTTCTCTGTCCTACTAGAATGCAAGTTCCATGAGTTCATGACTTTGGTGTGTTTTGTTCAGTGGACTAAAACAGTAGCATTTGAAAAATAGTAAAGATTCAATAAATATTCAAACCAATATTCGTTGGGCCCCTACTATGTGCCAAACACTGTACTGGGTTGCTGTGAGGGTTGTGGTATTTACATGGGAATAAGCACCATCCAAATAGAAAGTGTTGCTGTGATTCTACCTTTATCAACGTCTATTCCAAGGCTGCGGATGCTGATGCTGTAAAATGCTAAACATGACGAAAGGCAGTAGCATGTTTAGCATTTTACAGCATCACAATCTTGGAATAGACATTGTCTTGGTTAACTTTATAACAACTCTGTGCAATAGGCAGGACAGAAACTCTTATTGCCATTTACAGATCAGAAAACAGAAGGTTCCCACCAGGTGAATGGGTGCCCAAGTTCATATGGTAATTAAGTGGCAAGGGCTAGGATTAGAAACCAGGACATCCTGAAACAAGAGCAATGCAAGATGAGCATTATTTCTCAGGGGCTATTAATAGTGATAAGTACTTGCTGAACAAACTTGTTAAGAATATGTCTTATTCAAGAACCTGCATATCTGGAGCAGAGCAGGGGGTGGGGGAGGCTGGATCTATTAATTATAACTTATCCAGGGATAAGTTCAAAATAATCAAAGGTTTAAATGTGGGGCAATTAAGCCATAACATTTCTACTAGAAAATATGGGGAAATTATTCTATAATTTTAGAGCAGGGAAGGCTTTTTATAATTATGACTAAAAAATCCAGAAGTCATAATAGAAAAAGACTGATAAAGTCAACTACATGAAAGAAAAAAGCCTCCAAAATCCCTCTGTGACAAAAAAATACACAAACAAAAAAAACCAAAACTATCATAATCAAAGATGAAAGACAAATGACAAACTGAGAAACATATTTGAAACTCCTAACATAGAATAGTGGTCAATGTCTCCACTATGTAAAATACTACAAATCAATTAGAAAAAGTTAATAACCCAATAAAATATGGACAGAGGTAGTGAACAAATAATTCACGGAAAAGAATATAGGTTTTAAAAATTAGAAAGGAGGGAGGGCTGGGTGCGGAGGCTCACACCTGCAATCTCGGCACTTTGGGAGGCTGAGGCAGGAGGATCACTTGAGGCCAGGAGTTCCAGACAAGGCTGGGCAACATAGCAAGACATCATCTCTACTAAAAATTAAAAAATTAGCCAGCCATCGTGGCACATGCCTGTGGTCCCAGCTTCTCGGGAGGCTGAGGTGGGAGGAATGCTGGAACCCAGGAGTTCGAAGTTACAGTGAGCCATGATCACACCACTGCACTCCAGCCTGGCAGACAGAGCAAGACCCTGTCTCTAAAATAAATAAAAATAAAAATTTAAAAATAAACTCATAAAAAGAGGGGAGTGAATCCACTAAAAATGGTTGTTACTCTAATTTTGGAACTCAGAAACCACATCCGTTGACTAGATCAACAATGAAGCTGGCAAACACTGTCAGAAACAACTTTATCCAGAGTTCTGGAATCTAATGAAAAAACGTGCAACAACCAGAGGAATGCTTAAATAAGAAAGATGCTGCTACATTTTGGTAAGAGAGCATTGTAGCATTTTTAGCTTACTCCCCTACCATCCTTCATAGCCCTGCTCAGTAGCATCCACGGAATGACAGCCCCTGTTCCTGGTGCACCTTGCTAGTACTGGAGGGGACAATATGAACCTTGTTCTCAAGCAATTGTAGTTCTGTGGGCTGGTCTGTCTGGAGGTTCCCTGAGGGATCAGCTCAGAGCTTGACTTTCTTTTATCTGCCTTGCAACTTTCTCAGGGCTGGAGCAGCCCCTCCTGGGAAGCATCTGTCAGGTGCATTTAAAGAGAAAGATACCAGACACAGCCTCCTGGTGCAAGGGGTAACAGATGAGGCACAGATAGGTAGGCTAAAATGTCTAGGAAGAAAGAGGTTGGGGAAGGAGGCATATGGGAGAATAAGGCTTTGAAAGGCTCACGTGCATACCAGGGAATATAGGTACCAGGTTTGGAACCATGTTTTGAAAAGGCCTGAGAACACACTAAGCTTTCATCTCTGGCTGACCATTGGACTTTTTGAAAGTAGAAGGTGAAGGCTAATGCAGATTAGTCTTGATGTGAAGAGCCTGACTAAAAGCACTGAATGAATGCCTCAATACACAGCCAATCTGCAAAGACTGGACGAGTTTTGTTTTTGTTTTTGTTTTGGCTCCAGATAATCTCTATCAAATCACTAGCTGATCCCTTACCTAACTGAATGGAGACTACACATTACAAATGTCTTTATAAAGATAGTTTGGAAAAGTAACTAAACAACAAACAGCTACAAACTACAACAAGGAGCAACAACAAATCATAAGGAAAAGGGGAAATTTGATTTCCAGGGTTACCAAATTCTAATATTTAAAATGTTCAGTTTTCAACAACAACCAAAAAAAACCCTGAGGTGTGCAAAGAAACAAAAAAGCATAGACCACTCAAAGGAAAAAAATGTACTAGAAACTGTCCCCAAGGAAACCCAGAGATTGGACTTACTAGACAAAGACTTTAAATCAATAGCTTAACTATATATATATTTTTTATTATTATACTTTAAGTTCTAGGGTACATGTGCACAATGTGCAGGTTTGTTACATAGGTATACATGTGCCATGTTGGTGTGCTGCACCCATTAACTCATCATTTACATTAGGTATTTCTCCTAATGCTATTCCTTTCCCACCCCCTGATCCCCCAATAGGCCCTGGTGTGTAATGTTCCCCTCCCCATGTCCATGTGCTCTCATTGTTCAACTCCCACTTATGAGTGAGAACATGTAGTGTTTGGTTTTCTGTCCTTGTGATATTTTGCTGAGAATGATGGTTTCCAGCTTCATCCAGGTCCCTGCAAAGGACATGAACTCATCCTTTTTTATGGCTGCATAGTATTCCATGGTGTATGTGTGCCACATTTTCTTTATCCAGTCTATTATTGACGGACATTTGGGTTGGTTCCAAGCCTTTGCTATTGTGAGTAGTGCAGCAATAAACACATGTGTACATGTGTCTTTATAGTAGCATGATTTATAATCCTTTGGGTATATACCCAGTAATCAGATTGCTGGGTCAAAAGTATTTCTAATGCTAGATCCTTGAGGAATTGCCACACTGTCTTCCACAATGGTTGAACTAATTTACAGTCCCACCAATAGTGTAAAAGTGTTCCTATTTCTCCACATCCTCTCCAGCACCTGTTGTTTCCTGACTTTTTAATGATCACCATTCTAACTGGCGTGAGATGGTATCTCACTGTCATTTTGATTTGCATTTCTCTGACGACCAGTGATGATGAACGTTTTTTCATATGTCTGTTGGCTACATAAATGTCTTCTTTTGAGAAGTGTCTGTTCATATCCTTTGCCCACTTTTTGATGGGGTTGTTTGTTTTTTTCTTGTAAATTTGTTTAAGTTCTTTGTAGATTCCGGATATTAGCTCTTTGTCAGATGGATAGATTGCAAAACTTTTCTCCCATCCTGTAGGTTGCCTGTTCACTCTGATGATAGTTTCTTTTGCTGTGCAGAAGTTCTTTAGTTTAATTAGATCTCACTTGTCTATTTTGGCTTTTGTTGCCATTGCTTTTGATGTTTTAGTCCTGAAGTCTTTGCCCATGCCTATGTTCTGAATGGTATTGCCTAGGTTTTCTTCTAGGGTTTTTATGGTTTCAGGTCTTACATTTAAGTTTTTAATCCATCTTGAGTTAATTTTTATATAAGGTGCAAGGAAAAGATCCAGTTTCAGCTTTCGACATGTGGCTAGCCAGTTTTCCCAACATCATTTACTAAATAGGGAATCCTTTCCCCATTACTTGTATTTGTCAGGTTTGTCAAAGATCAGATGGTTGCAGATATGTGGTGTTATTTCTGAGACCTCTGTCCTGTTCCATTGGTCTATATATCTGTTTTGGTACCAGTACCATGCTGTTTTGGTTACTGTAGCCTTGTAGTGCAGTTTGAAGTCAGGTAGTGTGATGCCTCCAGCTTTGTTCTTTTTGCTTAGGATT